CCTACGTTCGGAGCCTTATACAGGTGAGTAGACCGGGACAGCGCGCCACTGCTGATTTCAGCAATCTTCGGGCTTTCCCCGCCCACGGTGACAGACCAGTGGCAACAACCCGGCGAAGGGGCTCGTGGACCAAAGAGGGGTCCCAGGGATAACCGCGGCAGCCGATAATACTTGTGCATGAGACCCGGGTAAGAAAACTGACTGTTAAGTACTACTCGGGCAGCTGGGTGACGGGGGATTGAGAGTGGTGTGAATGAGACGCAGACTAGATCTGCGAAGCGAGTGCGGAGTCTTTCTAACCGCAGTTCCGTATCTCCGTGAGGAGACCAGCCGGTGAAGAGACGAAGCAAAAGGCTGGAGTTGAGAGATCCCCTGGGGAAAAAAAAAAATGGGACAAGGGAAAAGTAAAAAGGAATTTAAGGGAAAAGCTGATCAGTGAATTTCAGGAATACCTCCGGACAGTCCATTCGGTAGGATGTTGTTACAATGGGGGCAGGAAGGAGAGTCCTGCACCCAGGGTAAGGATAAAGCAAAGATGATTAATTCTTGTATGTTTAAATGGACCAAAGAGCCCATAAGGCCAAACAAGTTGTATTGGCCAAAGTATGGTTCTATAGAGGGATGGCTGTGTCAAGCACTAAATTTATACGTTAACTCTAAAGAACCATTCGATCAGGAAGAGAGTGAATATGCAGCGCGTTGGAAAGGAGCTGCAGGGGTTTTAAATTAGAGACACAAAAGGAAAAGGAGGAGGACCAGAGACCAGTCTGGGATCCTCTTGAATACATACCTCCCCCATATAACCCAGACCCTCTGGAAAGCGCGAGAGAGCCTCAAGCTCCCGTTAGAAGGGAAAGCCAGAGGAGATGGAGGAGGGAAGTGGGGAGGTCCATAGTGGAAGAAAATGAGGGGATGATGGAACCAATCGGGCTACATCCTTTACGGAAGGTCCCAATGCCAGGAGTTCAAAATGGGATAGGATTTGTGAATGTGCCCCTAACCAGTACGGAAGTTGGGAACTCTAAAAAAGAAACGAAGAAATTGTTGAAAGATCCCCTAGGTTTGTCAGAACAATTAGACCAATTTTTAGGTCCAAATGTATACGCTTAGGAAGAAATGCAGTCCATCATGGGAACTTTGTTTTCCCCTGAGGAGAGACAAATGATTTGTGTAGCAGGGATGAGAATATAAGAAAGGGAAAATGTTCATGGAGTGGTGGGGGACCAAAAGTTACCCCTACAAAGACCTGATTGGAATCAAAGTGACCCCGCAGGGAGAAGAAATATGTCTGATTATCGGACGTTAATTATAAGGGGAATTAAAGAAGCAGCCCCGAGGGGGTCGAATGTGAGTAAAGCCTTTTATAGTAAACAAGGTGGCCAGGAATTATTAAAAGTAAATTTTGTCACCCATACCTGGCCAGATATTAGGAAAAAACTGGAAAAGATGGAAAACTGGCATGAGAGAAGAATCAATGAGTTGTTACGAGAAGCACAAAAAGTATATGTGAGGCGCAATGAGGAGAAGCAGAGGGCAAAAGCGAAACTAACGGTAGCGACTATAAAAGGAATAACAAAGACTAAAGATAAAGCGCCCCAGAATTGAAGGCCATGGGTGAGACCATACAAGATACAGAGAGCCCATCTTCTGCCTCTCAAAAAGCCCATGTGGATGAAACCAGAAGCCCCAGACGGCGGAAAGTGTTACTACTGTGGGCAAGAAGGACATTTTAAAAGAGAATGTCCCAAGCAAGAGAGAGATCAACGAGTGTTTAAAATATGTCAACAACAGGAAGAATATGCTACCGATTAGGGGTGTCAGGGGCTCTACCTCCTGAGGGAAGAAAGAATTAGTGAGCCCTTGATAAATTTAAAATTAAGCCCCCAGGAGGAAATTTACACCTTTTTAGTAGACATGGGAGCTGAGAAGTCTTGTATTATGATATTGCCTTATGGGTGTGAAGTCAGTAAGAGACAAACTACTGTGGTAGGGGCAAAGAGAGAAAGTTTTAAAGAACCAATAGTAGAACAAATAGAAATACGAGACAATGAAAGGACAATAAGAACAGATGTTTAATTAGTACCAGAAGCAGGAGTACACTTGCTGGGTAGAGATTTACAAGTCAAATTAGGAATAGGTACTGCACCAGATAATGGACAAATTGTAGTAAAAATCTTTGAATTAACCCAGGAGGATGAAAAGCAAATCATGCCTCAAGTATGGGTTAAAGAAGGAAATAGAGGGGGTCTAAAGATACCCCCTATGAAAATAGCAGTTAAAGAGGACCGGCCAGTAAGGATAAAACAATATCCCATATCTTATGAGGGGAGGAAAGGTCTAAAACCAGTAATTGATTCATTGCTGAAGGACAGATTGTTGGGACCATGTATGTCACCTTACAATAGTCCAATTCTACCAGTCAAGAAGGCTGATTAGTTCAAGACCTACAAGAAGTCAATAAACGAGTATAGACTCAGCACCCTGTGGTTTTGAACCCATATACCCTCCTGAGTAAAATATAGCATAATCATAAATAGTTCAGTGTAATAGACCTTAAAGATGCCTTTTGGGCCTGCCCATTAGCAGAGGAGAGTAGAAACTTATTTGCCTTTGAATAGGAAGATCCGGACACAGGGAGGAAGCAGCAACTCCGCTGGACCTCCCTGCCTCAAGGGTTCACAGAATCCCCAAATCTATTTGGACAGACACTAGAGAAAACTTTAGGGGAGTTCCAGGCAGAACCCGGAGTGAGAATCTTGCAATATGTAGATGATCTGTTGGTATCGGGAGAGAAAGAGCAGAAAGTCAGAGAGACATCAATACGTTTGCTGAATTTTTTGGGAGAACAAGGATTAAGAGTCTCAAAGACAAAACTGCAGTTTGTACAAAAGGAAGTGTTTAGGGCATCTAATTAGCGAAGGAAAAAGAAAAATCAATCCAGAACAAATTTCTGGAATTACAGCATTAAGTGTCCCAAGAATGAAAAGATAAATAAGGAAGATTTTAGGGTTACTAGGGTACTGTAGACTATGGGTTGAGGGATACACTCAATCAATAAAATTTCTGTATGACAAACTAGTAAAAGAAGGTCCAATACAGTGGACAGAAGACGAACAAGAGCAATTTAAAGAATTGAATCAGAAGCTAATAAAAGCCCCAGTTTTAGCCCTCCCCTCCCTAGAAAAACCATTTCACCTTTTTGTAAACACGGAGGAAGGGATAGCGCATGGAGTTTTAGGGCATTTAATTAGCAAAGGAAAAAGAAAAATCAATCCAGAAC